GGGAGATGAGAACATAGCTCTTTCCAAGCAGAACTAATCTTCTTTTGAGAATGGGTGAATCTCACAGAGCCCTAAAATCAGAACTGCAAGAAACTCCAGCTAGTTGGGGAGACTGCACATCTCAGCAGGTTGTAAAACAAGGATAAACAACAAATTATAACCTAGCGGCAACTTCCGATTTCCCCCTGCAGCAGAGAACATGTGAGACTGGCCACTGAGCATGTGGGTAAGCGCAGGGAGTACATATGCGGCAACAGAGTTTATAGTGAAGTAGGGGAGCACGTGGGTGGTAGCAATTTAAAAAGCAGCTGTGTGTATGTTTTTCCCGGTTAGACGGTGAAATCACAAATGGTGGAATCAGCACTGTAAGCTTAAAACCATGTTAACCCACTTGGCTGTATTTTATTGTTAACTTTGCATCTACATTTTTCCTTATTTTCCAAGCACTGAATGATTCCTCTGTGCCAACTACCTCCTTTTATTAAAAACAAAAAGCAAAAAAACAAAATACCCCACCACCCAGTACTTCTAATGTAGTGATAAAATGAGGAAGAATGAGAGAGAATTATAAAACAGGACGTTTGTGGCCAGAGCCTTTGGAACCAGAGCCTTTGGAACAGTCATAGCTACATATATTTTCTCTAAGTAATCAGGAATGTATTGGTATTTTGAAATTATGTATCTCTAATAACACAAAAGTACTTAAGAACAGAAACGGACAGTAATGGAAAATGCAGTCAACTGTTGACAACATATAGAATTTCAGAAAATAATTTACAGAGAACAGCACAGCAGATGAGTCAAAATTTTCTCAAAAATATTTCTTGCCTCCGATAGTCCAATGTAATTCATTTTCTATCTCTGTTCATTAATCATTGTTAAAATTAGTGATCCATTTCTTCCACTCTGCCATCTGCACTCAGCTTCGTAACAAACATGACACCTTCCTGCATAATAAAACCTGACAACTACGAGGATGCATTTCCAAATAGCTTTCTGCATATTTGCACCTCTATAACTGATTCCGTTGTCAGACAAAAGTGGATTATTTAACCAGAGTTCTTTCTTTATCAATTCAGTACACAGACGTGTGTCTGTGAGTGACTTGGGGTGTGTGTGTGTATATGTGTGTGTGTACAAAATGATCAAGTAAAAATCAGTTAATTTGAATTAAACAGATATTTGAGATATCTCTAAATTCTCACAATAGGTAAAATTGGTCATGTATATGTATGTTAGGTTTAACCTTCTGCTATGAAGCTTAAGGATAACACGTTGGTTTGGTTTCATCTTGTGAAGTTTGCATACACAAGAATTATCCTGACACTCCAATTTCCTCCAGAAGAAAAAAAAATTCATATCCAGCTCTGTTTTGTTTCCTAGCCTTTGATCACTGACAATTCCAAATAAATATTTTTAAGATAAGACGAAATATTCAAGCAATGAGAAGATATAAGAAAGTGCACAGATAAATAATTCAAATTCAGAATGTCATTCTACACTGTTAGGGCTAGCCTTCTCATCTCTTGGTGGCAGACAGGAGACTGGAGAACAGGGTTCAGCTCTTGGTCTCTTCCCATTCCATCAACAGACTTGGAAAGATGTGGCAGCAGTGTATTTAAACAGTCCCTTCATAAACGGTAATTACACTTAGATCCCACTGATCAACAGAGGCTGCAGTTGCTCAGCGCACTGAAAATCAGACTAATGGTTAAGCCATATACATACAAGTGAATGGGAGCCTCTCCACTGACCATGATGAGTCTGGTTCCCCGTTCACAGCCCACTGTTGGACAGAACTGCCTGGCCAAATGATCATCAGAGCTGATGAGCTAGGAAAGCCTCAGCCCACTTCTGCTCAAAAAATGGTAAGCACTAAAACAGTGCATGAGGTAGCATTAAGAGGCATGAAAGTGCATACAAGAATCCTCTGGAGGCTAAAAATGGTTACCAAAGCCCTTCTAACCTTTAAAATCTTGTCAATCAGACCTGAGAAGCACACTACAATTTAACTCAAATTGGGAAAAGGCAATCTAAGATAAGACTTCTGCTCCATAGTAACTTTAAATAATTGTGCCTATAGCAAGTTCTGCACTGTCTTGTTATAGCAGGCAGAAAGACAAAATATACATTGTCCAAGACAGGAACTTCTGCTACTTTGTGGGTAAGATTCCTCAGTCTTAAATGTTGAGCCATGGCCACCAGAACAACACATACCCCTGTCCATAGGTGTTCACCGTCACGTCAGGGAAGCTTGTGACCAGCGAGCAGACTGGCAGGCGCACAGCCGCAGCTGCATGCCTGTGCTGCTCTACAGGCATGCTGAGGAGGGGCAACCGCTTGGGAAGAGTATGGAGGGTTGACTGCGGGACCTGGAGACAGAGCGCTGCAGCCAGGAGACCATGTTCCCCTCCCAGCTATGCCAGCTGACCTACTCACGCAACTCAGATAAGTTGCTCCCATTCTGGATGTCTGTGTTTTTCCATTATTAAGTGGAGATGCTGACACTTGCCTCCTTTGTGACCCACTAACAAAAAAAGCTGAATGGTTTTGAATGGTGCCACAGACTACAATGCATACAGAGAAACCTTATGTGTACCTCCGGTTAACAAACAAACCTTCTCTCTACATCCCAGATTTCATCTAAACATCACCACTGTTACCATCCCTCTCAGACAAATTTGTAACAGAAATGCTCAGTGGAGAAATGTTCTTCCACTGCTAGCATCTTTTTAAGCAATTAAGCTTATATAGCATATACTTAATAAATTATGTAATATATACTGCAATGCTTCTTTTCAAATAGATTAAAATATGACAGGGACCTAGAGCAGAAGCCCAACAGGTCAAGTTCAAATTTAAGCAACACCTCCAACATACAGTGAAGTGCAGCAGAACATTTTATGAACAAGGGACCCAATGCTACCTTCAGAGATATGCCTGCCACTTTCACATGCATGACAGGCCATAACTGGACCCAAATTGTCTGCAAAAATTATTCCATAAAGTTAAATAATTTCTGAATTAAAGAAAGTATGAAAAAATTTCACCAAAAAATTAAATCAACCTATTTTTGATATAGTACTGTTTAATGCAACAGCAAACGTATGTCACTCTTTAGAAGAAAATCTGCATCTGACATGAAAGTGTCCATTCAAAATTCAAACTAGATGTGATACAGAACAGCTTAAATATAAAGTTTGGAAAAACCAAGATGCGTAAGTCATATAGCAACTGACTCCTCCTGCTAGCTATTGCAAGGGTAAAAAAGCCTTTTAAAAAGTATTCCAACCTGAACCTTGCTACACACACATAAACACTTCAAACGGTGGGTATTATCCTTTAAAAATATTTATTTTATTTTGGGGGGCAAGTTGTGTATTTTTTTTAACATTTCTCCTCAAATTGTCATGAAGTAAATGGAAATTGAGTATCTAACTTATTTATGAACTTTCTGTATGTTTTTATATAGCTCTCAGTAAGCATTTGCGAACAACTACCAACTATTCTTTTTATTCTTCGCTTGGAAGAAAAAAAAAAAAGTAATCAAAATGGCATTGTCTCTATAGCTGGCTCTTTTGCCTTTTAGTTTCCTTTTTTCTTCACATGTCTGCATACTGACACATTCAATTTCAGGTTATCAGCACATCTGAATTACAGAATACTGATGGGGATAGAGGGCAGGCCTCTCTGGACTGATTAGCATCATTTAAGAAAGCATTCACTTGCTTGCTTCATTGGCTGCAGGGATTCCATGATGGGTGGCCTTTTAGCATTAGAAGTCAACATGGAGCAATCTCATTTGAATTAAATATGGACAAAAGAAAAGATTTGATTGTGGTTATTCATAGCTAACCTTTTAATTTTGCAAAGCTCTGAAATTTGGAGGTTTGTAAGCTATAAAACTTAAATACAGTTAGTTTTTCATTTCTTTTCAACTTCTTTCTCTTCTCCTCCTCCAGTTTTTATGTACTTTTTAATTTGTGCAAAACTTAAACCAGGAGCTTATTTCAAAAGAAATGTCTGAATGAATATTCAGGAAAACCTTTTAGTCTAGTTAAACCTGCACTGACAATAAAAGGAGGAAAGCCTGATTTTAATCCATAAACGTATGTAAATCCACACTGAAAAACATATTTGTCTCCATCACACTCATACTTGTTTCCAAATGGACCATAAATACAGCTAAGTATTTCATTAACACAAATAATTACGTATGGCTAGTCATATTTTGACCTCTGTGAACAACAGCATAAGTCCATGGAAAGACTGGAATGATTTAAATAAGAACAACAACAAAATCTGGTTGTAAGGAAATAAATTACTATTCCCATATTAGAGAAAATTATCATATGAACCAAAACACAAAATAGTAACAAGGAGTTGTCAATAACTGGTAAAATCATCAAAGTGTGTAACATAAGGCTACAGAAATAGTGGTTGGAAGAAAGTAAGTAAATCTTAAGTTTTTCAAGAGATGAAAAGAAGTAAAGTATAGAATTTGACTTGCAAGTAGATGAAAGCATAAAAAGTGTAGCCAGCCTCTCTGAATATCTGATCCCTCTGCACTTGAAGACAGTGGGAGTTTTGCCATTAACTTCAATGGAAGCAAAATCAGACATTGAGAAATGAAGTGGAAATGGCTTTTGCTGAGCTGGGCTGACTGCCATGGTATGGGATAAGCTGAGCCTATGAGGAACACAGGATAAATATCACACTACTTCTAGCGCATGACTTGTTCCTTTGCCACCTATCCCAACAGACTAGGCTTAAATTTGAAATATATAGTTAACTGCAGTCCAGACAATTTCATAGATATCCTGATGAAGGAGAAAAGTATTAAAAGTCCCTCAGTGGATGTCTCATAGAATAAGATTCCAGCAAATCATTCTTGCATTGCAGACACAGTTGAAACTAAAAAGAAGATCTGTTTAAAGTATTTCTATGGATCACGTTAACAAATTAAAACAGCCCCATAAAAAGAAGCAGCAAAACACTACCTGCATTTACATTTTTAGTAGTTCTACGGAAGTTAAGCCTGGAATCATCCGAAGTATTCACAGAAAAACTCCTGTATTCCTCAAGATTTTAGTTCCTTCCTGCTGTTGCAAAATAGAGAGCACCTAGATGAAAGAGAATGGAAGGTAGGGAGCGCATTTCCTGAAGAAGTATATGCATTCAACCTTTTCAAAATGTGTAATACTGCTGTAGCTTTCAAAATTTTTAAAACTCAGCATTTCCAAGTTTCCCCCCTGTCCCTAATTTACTAATTTCCCCAAAATATAGATTTTAGGCTTCTTTCCCGGTCATTATTCCAGATCCCTGCCCTCTCCTGCACTATTACATCAATAGCATCCTTAGCATGCATTTTGTCCATTTTTAAATGGAATAAGTCTAAATAAAGAAACAAAAGCGCTTGGGAGTACTTACATTGCAGCATAAGCATTCTAAAAAGGCCCTTCAAGAATGTTTCCAATATGCTTGCTACTGCAACCCAATGTGCAACTTCTGAACTACACCACCACAAGTAAGAAATTAGAAATGTTGAGGGCTATTGAACACTGAATTTTCACAGTGCATCTGCACAAAGTTATTTAGCACAGATGTTTCTGTAATTGTGATCCACTGGAAAAACTCAGAGTGTTCAATGGCCCTCACACTTCCACCTGCAGCGCAGTATGGGTCTAGTACAACAAGGCTGAGCTGTAACGTGTAAGAAGCAGGAATAGGGGCTGGATCAGACTTTGTGCAATTTTCTCAGTGTTATTCTTTTTTGTTTGTGAAGGGGTGTTGTGAATTGGGGTTTTTTATTTTCATTTACAAAAAGACCCACATATTAAAAAGGGGTGAAATAGATTTTTCATGCCTGGCTTTGAACCTGGGAATTTCCCACAGTGCAACCAATTGCAATGCCAACAAGACACAGGAGTACACCCACAAGCAGCATAAAATGTAACTGTGAGGGGTGTGATGGCAAATCTTTATAAATAATACATTCATCCCAAGGTGCACTTGTGTCTATGTTGTTAATGCAGGTATTTTTTCATTAGTAGCTGTTAAAATATCTGGGCAGGTGAACATCAACATGCCTCTGAAGACAATAAAAATGAGCAAATAACAAGAGGAGAGAACTTGTTTCTTGAGCAGAATCGTGAGGTATGTTCAGACCAAGCAACAGCAGAAGAAAGTGAGGATCATTACAATGACCCTCGCGCTCTCATTCATTTGATGGCCTCAGAAATTCAGGAGAGTATCTCCCTTTTCCGAACTTCAGCAAAAAAGCACACCTCAGAAAATTCAACGACAGGAAGTATCTTCCTGCCTGCAGGAGCTGCTGAACAGAAAGCAGGAAGCCCAAGTGCACAAACCTGTTTAAGGAGCACTGAATAAGGACCAATGGCTTCTTGACATCCCACTGTCAATGTACGAGGAAGCAGGTGGACCATTCACTTAGCTCCCTTGTGAACCTCAGAGAAAGGATTATAGAGAACTTCTTCAACTGAGAAGACAAGAGGTAAGTGGTTAGAGAAGAGATCTATAGGGGAGATAGGGATAACACAACTTTGATATAAAAAGCATCATCTAATACGGTTATCAGCACACATCAGACTGTAGGAACACATAAACATTTAGTGATTGGTTGCTGTTTTTGCAAAACACTAATCCATAATGTGGACTCACATTTTGAGCCATAAAAAGTAAGGATAATGGCTAAGTTATAATTTAAAAATTGGCTGCAGTAACTACTGCACAATACGTTTTTCAAAGCATATGAACAATAACATGACAATTCCTCCCTACTACATAAACACTTTGTGCTGCCATCCCATCAGATCTAACGCACTGTCTAACAAATTTAACCATGGCAATGCTTAAGCAGGAGAGAAGCCAGAATCATCACTTCATTGCTCCAAGAATCTTTTCACAGTTCTTGCCCCCAGTAAAGTTATTCCTAGAAGTATCTTATTTGCTACAACACCCTTCTTCCACTACTAGTTTTCTGCAGAGTCCCACATGACTCTATGTTTTATCCTTCTCTCCCTCACTGTTCTCTCTAGGCGACCTCTCTTGTTCACATGGCTTCTTCTTCCAAGTTTACGCCAATGACGCATATACCTGTTTCCCAGACCTGTCTCCTTCCTGAGCCTTGTATATTTGCTTGCATCTGAGACAACCTCTTCTAATTATGTTGCTGCCAATTTAAACTAGAAAGGATAAAACTGAACTACTTGTCTTTCATTTCAGTCTCCTGCCAGTCCCGACTGTCTTCGTCACTGTTAATTGGCAATACTATTTCCTTTCTACCTTCAGCGTGATTCCTTTTTCTCTCTGCCTCAAAAACTCACAGTAACTCCCAAACCTCACTGCTTTTTTCTTGTACCATATTTTAAGAAACAATCTTTTCTTTCTAAGCAGTTAACACTCTTGAACTTCTCCACCCTGACTACTACTAGGACTGCTTCTACTTGCTCGTTCCCCAAATACCCAGCTCCACCCCAGCACAGACAGCTGTTCACTGAGTAGGCCTAAGTGTTCTGCAATAGAAACAATAAATAATTAAATGATAATGAGGAGGCAGCATGCTGATAAAGGAGGTGGCACTATATCCTATAAGACAGCACTGAATCAGTGTGCCAAGATAATGGTGAGAAATAGGTTCTGATATATAAGCTGAATTTTCGCGTAAGACTGAAAAGCAGAATTCTAGTCGACCATGGTAAACATCTGACAGTGTTGCACAGCACTCTGATTATATTAAATTTACCACCCTGGGAAACATTTTTGGGGGAGTGCATAACGCCCTTTGGAAAATTGAACACAGGACCAGAACCTCAAAGGCATGCAAGCCCTTGACCCTTATTCAGCCATCTAAATCCCAGCAAAATGGAGATCAGGCACCTAAAAATCCAAAAGGCCACACACTTCAGAAGATCTAAGCCACAGGCATGTAGCTCCCTTAGATACTTTTGAAGTTGTAACCCCTGGTCAAATGCTATCTTAAATACTACCATCCCACTACCTAAGTTCTCACAGCAATTTTATCTGATTGATGTATTTATTCCTGTTCTGTACTACAATGTGCTGAAAAAATAGCTTTCTTGTCCCACCTTAGAGGTGGTTGCTGTTCAGTAGGAAACCTGGTAGACAACTATCCCATAGACATTTTGTTAAACTTCGTTAAGTGCAAAGATCTCTAAGATACTGGAGTGAAAGTTCCTAGGTAAGTGCACACTCCTCTTACAATTACAGAGCTAATCAAGAAACATGAAAATAACATGTAATACACTAAACACTCATTCAGTCTTCTTTCATACTGAAACTCATGGTGTATAAAACCCTGGCACATTTTCGGGTTTCCAGCTATTCTCACTGCATAACAACATGAACAGAAAGTAGTTGCCCTAGAATTAACTGTTTTTAAAAGCTTTTGGTTTGTGGTTCCCTTTATACTATCACAGACCTTTCCATGCAGGAAGGGATATTTTAATGGTCAAGAGACACAAGTTAGTCTCAAAAAAAAAAAAAAAGTTAACGGTCAAATGACAATACAGAAAACAAGAGATGAATTAAAGCTGAAATGTCATCCTTAACTCACCCCCACCGTGCCCAGCTCTTGCAGGGGTCCTCTAACAATTGGTAATCCTTCATAGTGTACCATATGTGCTGCAATAACAAGGCCCAATGAGGTACATTAAGGATGGCATTTCAACCTTACCTCCTTGCTTCTGTGAGATGAAGGGAGACCCTTAAGTTCATTTTAACGTAGCCTAGCGATTGAATAAAAAAAAAAAAAAAGTTGTACTTTCCTAGGACAATGCTGCTCAGTTTTGTAGTGTAAATAAAAACGGCTTAAGTTGGTCAGCTGCTAACCACATGGTAATAATAAGCACAACAGACCGAAGTTCACAATTATTTTAGATTTACTCTCTTCCTGATCTTTCGTTTTATCAGCAAAACATCCTCTTGGCAATGGGAAGCTAAGCTGAAACTTAAATGAAAGAAATGCAAGAAGTAAATGACAAAAGATACAATTTTATGAAAGGAAAATATTCAGACCTCAGCCTTGACCTTGACCTTTTACTGTCTTTTAACATTAAACATTTGCCCCACCTTCGAAAAGATAAATGTGGCTTTTGATGACAGCCTATGTTATCTGAGGATTAAAATAGCCCTCTTGCAGTGCTCAACATTAAAGTCTTCCGCATTTGCAAAATTGCAAACAGATGCAACTCAAGTACCTGCAAATAATCTGCCAAGACCAATTTCAAAAGGGAGATTTCAAAATATGTGGAAGTCATTAGGACATGTATTATTTTTGCAATGAATAGGCGCCAGGAGTGTCTCAAGAAGCAGATGGGTGCTACTTTGTTTATAAAAGATCAACAGAATATTTGCCTGTAAATGAAGACGTATAAGCTATACGAAACAATTATGTTAAAATGGTGAATGTTTCAAAGCTAATTGTAATGGTCTTTTAAGATCTGAATTCCTCATTTCTTACAGCATGCTAAAATATCATTTTAGTTTTGGTCTTGATTGATATAATTACAAAAATGGCAGAAAATTAAAGCAAATGCTGTCAGTTTTGCTGTTGTAAATGTTGTCACTTTATCACTTGTTTACAGTTGCACCCGTACTGATAAGTGAATATTTTTCAACACGCATAAAAATACGACCTTAATCTCCTGGGAAAATACTGAAAGGACAGTAAAAAACGTTAAGCTTAAAAACAAAAAAATACTTCCCAAACTGCAACATGTTACCTAATGACCAGTGGTTTTAAAATTCACATCATCTTAAATTTCCAACAAGAGATCACAAAGGAAACTATGACTATATACAACACACACACATTTTTGAAGAACTCAGTAAACATTAATGCATTATTCCTACAACAGAACAATAACCTGTAGCACAATACGGTGGTTAAAATCCCAGTGTTGTATTTCTCAAAGTAATATACCTTAAATCAGGCTTCAAACAAAAACTAAAAATTTATCTGTCCAGATACTAAATCTGTTTGGCATTATTTACCATGAGTAGAATGTATAAATTACAAGAAAACCACATATTTTGCCTGCCAATCAAAAATAATAATTGTTTGGGCAAACAGAATTGTACACTGTTGATTAAGATTGCCATATCCAGAAAATTCTGGTAAATATTTTTACCAGTACTGAGGCAATGTAAAGAGTATCTCCACAATTATATTTTAATATGTGTTCAAAAAAAGGAAAACTTTTTTACAATTAGAGTGAAGTAAATACAAATTTATATGAAATACTTATGTCAAAATAGTAATTTAAATTTGCTGACATCATAACATACCCACTACCAACAACTGCATGGCTACTTTTATTGCCATTTACACAAAATTGTGATACAGCAGGCTTAAAAGGCAGTGGAAGCCCTCAGAGCGCAGGTTATGAGACCCAGTGAAAGTCAGAGAGTAAACGCAAATACTTTTCATACTCTCGAGGTTTCACTAGGTCCTGCAAACTGCAATCTTCAATTTTTTTTCAGTGTGATGGAGTTTCTGCTAGGACCTAAAAACTCTGTTCTTCACTGTTAATCTTCCACTGGGGTTATTGTATACCTGTAAGATAGAGAGAAGGAGAAAGTAAGAAGAAACAGAAGAAAGGAATATATGTGGGAGGGGAAGCTGCTAGAGAAATAAGGGAAGATATGCAAGAAGAGCTAGACAAAGGGAAGAAAAGAACAAATAAAAGACTAAGCAAAACATTAAAAACATACTTTGGATTAAAAAAAACGCTTCTACGTATGAATACAGCATCACAGTACTGGCGGATTAGTAAAGTATTTTCCTTGTCACTTAAAATCTTTGGCTCATACATAGGTTAGATAAACATATTCAAGGTAAAGCATAGTAAAAAAAAAAAAAAAAATCAATCTTCAGTTAGCAAAAATGTTTTTCAAAATTTGCATTGGCTGCTATATAAATACAACGAGAAAATATTTGATGACTACTAGGAAACAAATAAAAACGAAACTGAGCCGCTAACTATCGGCTCACAGCGTCTGGGGCCTCACATTAGGAACAGAGTCCGCGGTAAGTTTCAACTAATTCAAGAGTAATGGGAGTGGTGCCTGGGTAAGGACTGAAAGTTTGGACGCAAAAATTAACCAATAGTCTTGTAATTATACAGCTAAAAGGCTTTGGGAACGGATGGTCTGTCTGTGCACGTGACAGACCGAGCCACGTGAGCCCAGGTTAAGAAGGGAGCTGATCCACAGCAGTCCCTTCAGCACGAAACCCAACGCAAGTCCTCACTGCGGAGGACCTCACCACGCAACAGTCTTCAACGCAAACGTACAGCTCCGCCACGTAGGGCTCCGCTTCACATGCCCATTTGCACAAGTGCTTCGGGGTCATCTCCCCTTGGGACACTTGTGGACACCCTCACTGACAACGGTGGCCAACAAAAGCTGAGTATAATTCTAAAAATCTTCTCCCTTTGCCCACGTCACCAGCAAGCC